CGCGCCGCCGAGTCACACCCATCTACAGCGAGCGCCTCGCACCCCCCCGCCCCCCCCCCCGGTGGCTACGCCACTACTGGAGAAGCGCTAGGTATCTGTTGCTCCAGTGGTAAGGTGAGGTTACCAACACTTCGACCTCCTCAAGAACCACTGGAATCACTGATGTCAGGAACAACGCAGACGTCAAAACATTTCCTGGACAACATTAGAAAATACAACTCCTGCTTCCAGATGACGTCTTTTGGCGCAACAAAGGAAGTGTGTGAGCCAGGTTTCATGCCCAACTTCAAGATTCAGGGCCAAGTCTACCATCGTGTGGGATCTCTGTTGCCACCCTCGAATGAGGAACATAAATTTCTTCAAATTTACTTTATGGGTGACAAACGGCAAGAAGCAAAACAGCGCTGCGATAATATTCATGGCACACATCAAGGTATCGTCATGGAACTACAGCAAATGCTTCATCAGCACAACAGCTATGCCCGTGATTTCAAGTCTGTGCTTCAAAAAATGCCTTCCGATACGGGCAAGATGGTCATTCGAGTGGACAAGAAATCTGCTAATGAGCATGCGCGACGCTTCAATGAGCCTGTGACAAATGAGGTGGCGATCGTCATCGCTGGTAACGAATTTGACAGCCGGGACATTGTCTTGGAGACAAGAAACAACAAGCCACAGAGAGTGGCAGAGACGCACAGGTCTTACGACGCCTTGCAATATCCTCTCATCTTTTGGGAAGGAGAAGATGGCTATCATTTCCCCATTTTGCAGATTAATCCCATAACAGAAATGCCTGTCGACGGCAAGAAAGTATCGGCGATGAACTTTTATGCATACAGAATGATGGTGCGAAATGGAGCTGTCAATCATATCTTAAGATGTCGCCAACTCTTTCACCAGTTTGTGGTTGACATGTATGCCAAGATCGAGAGTGAGCGATTATTGTTTGTACGCCTCAATCAACAGGCACTTAGAGTGGAAGAATACATTCACCTGAGAGATGCAATAGCCAATGATGGAAATGCTAACAATCTTGGTAAATTAGTGATCCTACCATCCACTTTCACTGGAAGCCCACGCCACATGCATGAGTACACACAAGATGCTATGACATACGTCAGAAACTACGGAAGGCCCGACCTGTTTGTGACGTTCACCTGCAATCCTAAGTGGGAAGAAATCCAGGAAGAGCTGCTGACTGGCCAAACTCATTCCGACCGTCATGATTTGTTGGCAAGAGTGTTCCGGCAGAAGCTCATAAACTGGTGAATATTGTTACCAAGAGCCATGTATTTGGACCAACGCGATGCTGGATGTATTCCATTGAATGGCAAAAGAGAGGACTACCACATGCCCACATCTTGATATGGCTGAAGGACAAAATTAAGCCAGATCAAATAGACAGCGTCATCAGTGCAGCGCTACCCGATCCTCAGCGAGATCCCCGTCTGTTTGATATAATCGTCAAAAACATGATTCACGGCCCTTGCGGTAGTATCAAGCCTAGCTCTTCCTGCACGAAAGATGGAAAATGCACCAAAAGATATCCAAGACAACTTCTTGCTGACACTCAAACCGGTGAAAATTGGTATCCATTGTACAGAAGAAGAGCGCCAGAAAATGGTGGTGTCAAAGCAAAAATCAAGGTGAAAATCGGCAATTCTTTCCGAGAAATGGAAATCGACAATAAATGGGTTGTGCCATACTGTCCATTACTTTCTCGAATCTTTCAAGCTCACATCAATGTTGAATATTGTAACTCGGTTAAGTCAATCAAATACATTTGCAAATATGTAAACAAAGGCAGTGACCAGACGGTATTTGGCTTGAAAAAAGATGGAACAGCCATTGATGAAGTTGAATGCTACCAGTTAGGTAGATACATCAGCAGCAATGAGGCAGTTTGGCGAATTCTGGATTTTCCAATTCATGAACGACATCCAACGGTGGTGCATTTGGCTGTGCACTTGGAAAATGGTCAACGCGTCTTCTTCACGGAAGACAACTTACATGAGAGAGTCAGTGAGCGGCCGAAGACGACATTGACTGCATTTTTCTTACTCTGTCAGAAAGACGACTTCGCCAAAACGCTACTGTATTGTGATGTCCCAAAGTATTACACTTGGGACGCATCAGGAAAAGTTTTCAAGCAGCGTTGTCAAGGTGCCGTTGTACCTGGTCATCCCAATGTCAGAGCAACGGACGCTCAGGGTCGCGTCTATACTGTGCAACCAAATAACTTTGATTGCTTCTTCCTGCGGCTCTTACTTCAGACGGTCAAAGGTCCTACTTCGTTTGAAGCTCTCAGGACTGTAAATGGTCGAATCTGTGCAACATTCCGTGAGGCCTGTCAATTGACAGGCTTGTTTGAAGATGATGCGCAATGGAACGCTACGATGTCCGAAGCAGCTACGGCTCAATCACCTGCAAGACTGAGAAATCTATTCGTCATCTTACTGATTACTTGCGGACCATCTAATCCAGAACAATTGTGGGAGTCGCACAAAGAAAGCCTGACAGAAGACATTCTCATACAAGCTCTCAGACGGAATCCCGGAATGAATTTGGTTTACACACCTGATATGTTCAATCAAGCACTGATTATTCTCGAAGACAAAGCTTTTGAGATGGCTGGCAAAGACCTCGAGCAATTAGGTCTTCCCATTCCTCAAAGAAATCTCGGTGATCGGTTGGGCAGAGAAATGCTCAGAGAAACAAGTTACGACGTGAACGAGTTGGATAAATATGTGTCAGCAAATGAACCGTTACTGGTGCTAGATCAGAAAGCTGCTTACAATGCCATATTAGACCGGATCAATAGGAAAACTGGTGGAATAATTTTTCTTGATGCACCAGGTGGAACAGGAAAGACATTCGTCATCAATTTATTCTTAACTAAAATTCGACAGCAATCAAAGATCGCAATTGCAGTAGCCTCTTTGGGGATTGCTGCTACATTGCTTCATGGTGATCGCACTGCTCACTCAACACTAAAGCTGCCTCTCAACCTTACACATTGTGAAGCTCCTCTCTGCAACATCAGTAAAGGAACTGGGGAAGCAAGGTTCTGCAAGAGTGTGAACTTATTGTGTGGGATGAATGTACAATGTCACACAGACAAGCACTAGAGGCATTGGATCGTACGCTGCACGATCTTCGTGGGAATGGGAAACATATGGGTGGAGTTGTTGTACTGCTTGCAGGTGATTTTCGTGAAACGCTGCCTGTTATTCCAAAGGGTACAATGGCTGATGAGCTTAAAGCTTGCTTGAAAGCTTCATACCTCTGGAAACATGTTATAAAATTAGAACTGAAAACCAACATGCGAGTTCATTTGCAAGGTGATGTGTCTGCTGGCCATTTCGCTCAACAACTGCTCACTATCGGAAATGGAAAAGTACCAGCTGAACCGACCAGTAGGCTCATCAGCATTCCGGATAATTTTTGCAATGTCGTCGAATCGATTGAAGTACTGAAGAGCAGTGTGTTTCCGAACATCCGGAACCATTTCAAGGATCATAAATGGCTATGTGAACGTGCTATTCTTGCCCCTAAAAATAACAGCGTGAATGCCATCAACCTACAGATTCAACAAGAGCTTCCCGGAGAAACTACACTTTACAAGCCGGTTGATACAGTTGCGGATGTCAACGAAGCGGTTCAGTATACCACAGAATTTTTTAATTCTCTCGAACCTTCTGGGATGCCACCACACAACTTGCTGCTGAAAATTGGTTCTCCCATTATGCTTCTGAGGAACTTGGATGCACCAAGACTATGTATGAAAAGTTTAATGCCTCATGTTATTGAAGCAACAATCTTGACAGGCTGCCCAAAAAGTGAGGATGTATTCATACCACGAATACCCATGGTTCCTACGGATATGCTATTTGAGTTCAAATGTCTTCAGTTTCCAGTACGTCTTGCCTTCGTGATGTCTATTAATAAGGTTCAAGGACAATCACTTAAGGTTGCTGGTATTAATCTAGAGACTCCTTGCTTTTCTCATGGTCAGTTTTATGTAGCATGCTCAAGAGTTGGAACTGAGAAGAATTTGTACGTTTTTGTCCCTGATGGGAAAACCAGAAACATTGTGTATCAAACAGCTTTACAATAAAAATTGTATTTCACTGAACAGTCTCTTTTTAATAAAAGAAGCTCATAAAACAGAAAGAATATCGAAAAGAAAAAGGATATTTTTAAACAATTTCAAATGTGAAAAACAAAAAAATTGAAAAAGAAACATGATCCAAGCGCTTTTTGCAGCATCAAAGATCGTTAACTAGAAGAAGACCATAGCGACGTCGTTTTCTCTTACGCCAAATACGTACTATCAAATTATCTCGACCAACATCGGGTACTTCCGCTAGTCATATAGATATTTACCTAATGAACAAGGTTCTATATTAATATAATAATTTCCATATTAAATTATATTTAAATCTATATAAATAATAGCATTTATTTTTATAAACGAAGTTAAATAAAATAAAGATAAAAATAAAAATACGATGTTGTTGTTGTTTCATTATTTATCTAGATGAAATAATTGATCAAGTCAATCATGGATACGCGAATTACAAGACACATCATCAAGAGAAAAACGTATTAGTTCATCAATAAGTCAACATGTTCCATCAGTTATACCTCATAGAAATGATCTTAAAAAAGAATTTTATTCTTTAACACCACCTGATCATCTTATTATTCCATCTTAATTAACAACAATTTTACTTAAACACATCATCAATTAATAATACAACAGATCAACTAACACCTTATTGTTCTTATGCAATAACAAGAGTAAATATTCGATCAATATTGAATAGAAAATAAAATAGTAGCTTATCTTAAATATCAATCATCTTTATCATCACCTCCTCCTATAATTCAGTCACCAACAACATTAATTTATAGAGAAACTGAACAATCATCAAATTTATCAAATGATCATTATCAACAACAACAAAATAGAAATAGATATTATCTTACAATAACACATTGAAATAGTTTTATATAAGATTGGACATAAACTGATAGACCAAATCTACCATTACCTGATTATGGAATTATTTATGATGATTTAGTTGATGATGAAGATGATTTCGATATAGAATATATCCTTGAATATCAAGGTGAAATACCTAAAGGTTATTCTCAACGATTTTTATTCATTTATTTGTTCTTCGTTTTTTTTCTAAAATAAATGCGAAAACCTCGGATTTAAATCCGAGTGTTATGTGTACTTCAAAAAGTGAAAAGGTATATTCACTGTGCTTTTTATCACTAAATTGCAAGGAGAAAATACAGGCGTGCTAAGTTAGCATGGACCACACTGTAAAGCCACCGACACATTAGAAGACCCCNTGTACCTATTGGACAACAAGGAGAAATTTGGGCAAGAGGTTATCCAATTATGGTTGGATATTATGGTGATCAAGATAAAACACAAGAAGCATTAACACCATCAGGATGGCTTCGAACTGGTGATCATGCAAGAATGGATGAAGATGGTTATCTTTATTATATTGGACGTCAGAAGGAAATGATTATTCGTGGTGGTATTAATATCTATCCAATTGAAGTTGAAAATACAATAATTGAGCATCCAAGTGTTGCTGAAGCACAAGTTTTTTCTATTCCTGATGAACGTTATGGTGAAGAAGTATGTGCATGGATTAAACTAAAACCAAATTCACCTCCATGTCAAACAGAAGATATCACAAAGTTTCTATCTGATAAATTAGCTTTTTTTAAAATACCAAAACATATTCGATTTGTTGATAAATTCATTATGACACCAACAGGAAAAGTACAAAAATTTAAATTATCTGAAGCAATGGTTAATGAATTGAAAGAATCAAAAAATAAACAATAAATTTTCTTGATTTTCACTTTTTTAACTTATAATACGTAGCTGGGTAACTTTTCCGCTTTTTATCAAGTAGATTTACAATAAATAGATTATTTATCAAAACATTAGGAAGAAAATAAATATGTAAATTTGAAGAAAGATGACAGTTAAGTTGTTGATGCTGATGAACAATAGTATTTATGTATTGAAAGTAGTTTATAGTAAAATAGAGAATTAATCTAAGGACAAGATAATCTTTCGAATAATTTCATGATATCACATAAACGTCAAGTAGATCTACAAACAGAACAAAGACATGATCAATTCTTTCAAAGAAGATTGATACATGAATGTGAATTGATATAATTATAATGAGATATATATATCCATGGCGCACGTTTGCTGGCGTTACGCCCGATATCTATAAGTAGCGAGCGTATACCGGCAGCATTTTATGACTAGCGGCGAATATTACTGGTATAAAACACGTAACAAAGAGCGGTCTACCTATTGTTTTTGTCCGGTTTGGATCACATAAATATCTCTATAGCAAACTAACATACTTGCCACAAGAAGTCTTACTCCTAATTCGCTGGTTGGCTACGAACATACATCAAAAGTGACCATAGACTAGCTTGTTTGCCTGTAAAGCGCGATCTGTTATCTTTCATGTCTTTTTCTCAATCGTCTCACTAGTATGTGCTAGTAAGACGGTTGAGAAATAAAGATGAATGAAAAGTGATCACGCTTAACAGCAAACAAGCTAGTCAGTGGTTGCTTTTATTTATGTTTGTGACTATCCAGTGAATTTGAAATAAGTCTCATTATTTTCTATTTTCATTTCGGCATGAATAAACATTGGAAATTATGAAGATTATTGTTCCGATATTGATATCCCGTGTCGCTCATCTTCCTTTTCCTCTTTATCTCATCTCTGTTGTTCTCTTCTGTGCTCATCTCTCTCTGTTCGCTTTCTCCTATATAAGCGTGTGTTTTATTGAAGTAGCTTCATAAACATCGTTACTGATAGTGGGTGGTAAGCTATTCTTCCACTTTGTCGTTACAATTATATAATCAGAAAGGGACAAAAAAATTCATACAGGATTCAATATAATGAAGTTCAGCAATGTTAGAAGAAGAAATAAGTTGAACAGTGATACAAGAAAAAAATTAATTGTACTATTTAATCACCTCGCAAAACAATAAATCGTGATGGCTAAGTAGAATCGGATGAAGTATCAGGTTCTATTTGCCTTCTTTTTTAATTTTCAAATACCTTTATTTTTATCATGACGATGAGGAAAACTTTGTGCTTCTATTTTTATCTGATGATTTTGCTCAGAAGTAGACGAATAAATAAGTTATGCATCAACACTGAGAATATTTCATTTCATTATTTCTCCCTTTCCATTTCTCATATTTAGCATTAGTTGATACTTCTAACCAATCATGTGATTTGCTAAGTTTTTTATGCAATGTATCATAAGATAGCTTGTTTTACAACACATTCAAGATAACATGTCCCTATCGAAGAGGCAAATGCAAATATAAATTTTATAATGGAGACATTGAAATAAAGGGAAACATGTTTTTATGGGTTTTATTAGTTCGATTTCAGTTATCAATGTTCATCAAGATGTCATTAGTCGTCATCTCTTTATAATAATTAACTATATTGAGTATGCTAGTTCTTAGCAATCTTGATATTGTTAAATCGTCATTGTCAAAAAATATTTTGTGTTCGTAAAGTTTTATTTTATTGATTTAATCTGTTTATTCATGTATATGTGGAAATCATTGTTTTCTTGGGTTTTTATCTTCGGTTCTATTTTGTTCATCTCCGTATTATTTATGTTAATTTTCTCATTCGTTTGAATGAATCGTCTGTTCAAGCATATATTCTTTGTATGATAGTATAGTTTTTCTCTTACACTCATAGTAGTAACCGATTCTTTTGCTGTAACCTTTTCATTTTTATACATGCAGAGTTTGACATATTTTTTTGGCATAGTATTGGATTTTTTTCCGTATAGTTAGTTACAAGTTAATACAGTTGCTAAATTGTGAACCTCAACAAATGACTGAACACGAATCAGTCGGTAAATTATTAGTACTTTGATCGAAATCTTTTATTTTTGATATGAACAATGCAGATACATGTGAAGCGATCGAACGATACCGATAATGTCAGTCTTTCATCTGTTTATTCAATTTTTAGAGAAAAATAGAATTGTGCGTTTTTTTTGTTGTTTTCTTGGTCATGTTAACAGAGGTGAGAAAGAAGGAAGTAACCATAGTTAGATATCATTAATAGGTTTCCATTGTATATATAAATAGCATTTGATAAGATTCGAACCCCATTTTGATCCTTTTTTTTTGTATTTTTTCGAATATACAAAGTTGAATAGACATAAAAGATATTTATGTTTAAAAGTAACATCTAAGTTATCATTGAAATTTTTTGTATTTAACTGATATCCTTATTAAGTGGAAAGTTATTAATAAAAATGTTAAAATAATTTTATCAAGTTTTTTTTTTCATTCTTTTCCACTATATTATTATTTTAGCCATGCATAAAACTAAGTCTAAACCTATCTTAGCATTACAATCTATAATAACACAAAGGCAAAAATGAATAACTTACAGTAAGTGTACGACTGATATTGTTCTTATTCTAAGAAAAACAAAGAGTACGAAAAAATATTTGATAAATATATTTTGGCATGTTTTCTAATAACATACTTTCTTAATAATAATATTAATTGAATATAGTAAATTTTCAATAATAATTCAGATGTTACAAATTTATTTTTATTTCTATGTCTGTCCAACTTCTATATATTAGAAAAATACAAAAAAAAAATACAATAAAAGTAGCTAGAAAACTATCAAACAATCATTATACATGTTACTTCCTTAGAACATGCAGTAGTTAGATGAGCTTCTTAAATATTCCAAGTAACCCAGATCTATGAAACATGAGTATTTCTCACGAGCACACACTCAATTCAAAAAGCTGAACGTGTAAAAATGCGTTGAACTGCTTCAACAAAACTCACATCTTAAAAATGTTTGTTTCTCTACGATGGCGTTTTTGTTAGAATACCAACATGTTTTTACGAGCTTTTTTATTATTTGTCTCACTGAGAACTTTATCAGACACAAAAAGTTATATATTACTTGTGCAAAATAAACCTTATTATCTCTAGGGCAACAATAATTAAATTTACGATAAATGCAATGCTAAACAATTATTTGTATTTTGTTTTGATAAAATAAGTTGATATAAACACTAGATTGATCAAATATGATGATGAATTTTGACTAAATAGAACAGCATGGTACATCTTCTCTCAGAGAAACAGTCTTCGACATCAGTAAAAAAACTATTCGATTTACCAAAAAGAAAAAACATTTTTATGTTCAATTTTGCCAGTAAAACATGCAAAAACTCTAAAAGAAATTCATACCGGCTAATAAACAATTCTTTATCAGATTGGACCGGCCGTTATCATTGCCGGTTACAATTCTCCTGCGAGATGTTACTGATGTTGCGCATGTCGGTGTGAGTATGAGTTCAGCTATTAGCCAAACTAAAACTCACACCCAATTCTAACTATACAGTTGGTGTTTTGATGTAATTCACTCTTGACTATTAAACACCGACTTTGACTCGGTAATTGTATTTTTTAATTAACTGATTGTGGTTTAATGATAAACTGAGAATTTATTAACTAGATAATGCAGCATAAAATTCTACGTCGACTAATGTAACTTTTCCTCGAATTCCGTAAAGTTCCTTGACTAGTAAACACGAAAAACTGAAAATGTCTTGAAATTTTGTTCACTACTTTAGATAGTAATATTCTCGGTCTTAGTCGTGTAACCTTCAAGTTACAAAAATTTATCATGTTTTTTTTCGTTCTCTTTTTTCGATATTTTTTAGAGCAATGTCACGAAATAAAAAAAGAAAACAGTAACAACGACAAAAGCGAAGAGAAGAGTATGTAGCTGATAACAGCAAGTTTCAACTTATCCGCAGGCACACACACCCGAGGTTTTTATTTTTTTCATTCAATTTAAGCATGCTTATCAGTAACACAAAACGTTTTCTTGTACGTCCACAAACAAGATGGATTATATTTCAATTCAAAAAACGAAATAGTTCAACAGCACCGTCAACGAAATTAACTTCAAGTTATTTTCATCATGTTTCATCACTTCCATTTGTTTATAAAACAATAGGTCAAAGTTTTGATGAATCATCTGCTAAATATCCTGATCATGAATGTTATATTTTTAAAAGTATATCGATCAAATAATGATTAAACTTGATATGCATAACATAAAATTTTTAGGCGAACAAAAACGATATACATTCAAATCATTCAAAGATGAAGTTGATAGTTTAGCTGCATCTCTTATTGAACTAGGCTTTGAAAAAGGTGATCGATTTGCTGTTTGGTTACCAAATACATCGGAAAATGTTGCAATGTCATTTGCTACATCTAAATTAGGCCTTATCAAAGTAAAGTTTTACTTTACTTTAAAATATTGTTCATGATAATCATCTTAGGTTAATATAAATCCAGCTTATGTTGGACGTGAACTTGAATATTGTATAAACAAAGTTGGATGTAAAGGTATTATACTTTCACCAACAGTCAAAGTCATTGAATCATTATCATTGTTTCGTCGACTTGTACCAGAACTTGATCAACATTCAGCATCTGGAGAACTTTCATCAAAAGTATTACCAACATTAAAACATGTTATTCTAACTGGTAAACAATCATCTATATCTGGACTTCATTCATATAATAGTTTAATTGAACGCGGTGCAAAATTATCGCATAATAAATTAAACGAAAGACAAGCATCTGTTAATCCTGATTCACCTGCTGCAATATATTTTACGTCAGGTACAACAGGCCAACCAAAAGCAGCGACATTAACAAATTTTGGTATGCTTAACTTAGTTCATGCTCAATGGGAACATCTGGAACGTTTCTTTACTCGTCTCTGTGTTCCTATTCCATTTTTCCATATTTTTGCAGAAGTTGTGGGTGTACTTAATGCTGCTGTAGCAAAATGTCAAGTTGTTTTTCCAGCTATTTTACCTGATACAGTTTCAACCATGCAAGCTATACACGAAGAAAAATGTACAGCACTTATAGGTGCACCAATTATTTTTCGTGATATTTTAACACATCCAGATCGAAAAAAATATGATTTAAGTTCATTAGTCTACTCTGCACTTGGTGCAAGTCCTATGCATTATGATTTCTTACGTCAATTAGAAACAGAAATTCCGATTAAACGTGTTTCTCAAGGTTATGGATTGACGGAAAATTCTGCATTACTTACAAGTGGTATGTGGGCTGATGATGACGATCCAAAACGTCGTCTAGGATCACTTGGCAAATGTATGCAACGTTTAGAAATCAAAGTTGCTAATCAAGAAGGAAATGCTGTACCTATTGGACAACAAGGAGAAATTTGGGCAAGAGGTTATCCAATTATGGTTGGATATTATGGTGATCAAGATAAAACACAAGAAGCATTAACACCATCAGGATGGCTTCGAACTGGTGATCATGCAAGAATGGATGAAGATGGTTATCTTTATTATGTCGGACGTCAAAAGGAAATGATTATTCGTGGTGGTATTAATATTTACCCAGCTGAAGTTGAAAATACAATAATGGAACATCCTAGTGTTGCTGAAGCACAAGTTTTTTCTATTCCTGATGAACGTTATGGTGAAGAAGTATGTGCGTGGATTAAACTAAAGCCAAATTCACCTCCATGTCAAACAGAAGATATCACAAAGTTTCTATCTGATAGATTAGCATATTTTAAAATACCAAAACATATTCGATTTGTTGATAAATTCATTATGACACCAACAGGAAAAGTACAAAAATTTAAATTATCTGAATCAATGATTAATGAATTGAAAGAATCAAAAAATAAACAATGAATTTTCTATTTATTTTTTTTATTTATCTTACATTGATTGTTGATTTTTTTGAAATTTTTTTTTTCTAGTAGATCAACAGTAGGTAGATAATTCATTGAAATATTATGAAAAAAACTAAATGTGCGAATTTGAAGAAAGATGACAGTTCAATTCTTGATGCTGATAAATTATAGTGTTTACTTGTTGAAAGTAGTTCACAGTAGAATAAAGAATGAATTCAGGGACAAGTTAATTTTCTTAATAACTTCATCATATCCCATAAACGTCACGTAAATCTGCAAACAAAAAAGAGCATTATTAATTTTTTCGAAAAAAACTGATACACAGATATAAATCGATATGATTAGCATGTGATATGTATGTATATCTTGTATGTTTTGTTGGCACTACCATCGATACCCATAAGTAGCGAGAGTATACCAGCAGTAGATTGCCGTCAGCGACCAGCTGTCGGCGTACTGCGGAAAAACAATGGTCAGAAGATAACCGACTGTTTAAGTGTGAAACTAGGGTCTGTTGTTTTCTTGTTTACCATTGAATATAGCCGTTATAGCGCATAATACGCCGATCTGTCTGCGTAAGGTTTACTGGTGGTTTTTTATTAATTCGAATCCCATGGATATTTCTATAGCAACACAACATACTTGTTGCAATTTCAAAGGTACATAATCGAAATTAATATCGTATTGTTATGTTAGCATGGATACTTCCGAGAAATATGGTTTTCCTTGTATTTCGTTGAACGTTCATTTCATTTGAATACTTATTTAATATGGAGAGTATTCCAAAAGTTTGTAAGAAAAATAAAGGTAAATATCTCTTATACAATTTAAATAGTTTAATTGTTTTTGTTTTCGCTATAGACAATTACACTCTTTGAAGTTTCATTCACCATATTAACTTATAAATATCGATGTCTATAAAAACCACAATAAAATCATTTGTATTACATACACTAGTGATTGAAATGCATGACAATGAAATGCTCATTTTATTGCAATAGTTTGCTGATTTCCATATCCAATGGCGCATCGAATAATAATTTGTTATGTTTTAATGAAACTATGCCGGATACGAATTGATTAAGAAAGTCAAGAAATCGACTTCCAACAGAGAATTAAAATGTGTAAAACTTTGATATCGGCGTTTGAGGGAAGTAACAATGAAGAAAGAACATTCACTTGTTGGTCGAATTTACATTTCATTTCAATTGATTGATCAATAAACATGAAGTAAACACCCAATATCGATGTAATACATTTAAATGATCAAGTTCAATTTAAGAAAGAGAACTGAAAATAAAAATAAGTCAATAAAATTTATAAAAATTGTATCGTGTTTTTCCAACATTTTGAAAATGATAAATTATGTGTTTTAGTTTAAAGGAATTGCTATAAACTTTTGTCATTCGATCATAAATTATGTTAATAAAATTTCAAAGGACGGACCATCATATTATTGAAAATAATATAAATTTGCTTGAATCTTTTCGAGAGATAATTACATTTATTTTTCCAACGAACTTTTAGAAACACCTTGTATGTGTTTTATATTATTTCTTCTCGTTTTGTTTTCTATCGAAATGCCAACCAGTTCTCAATAATCCTTGATGATCATAACATGCATAAGTAGATGTGCGACCTCTTTCGTTTGTTTTGTTTTTCAAATCTTTCGTTAAATTATTCAAAATAGTAAACTATAGTTTAAAAAAATGAATTAAAACAGTAACACATGTCTTATAAAGTGAAAACTTTGATATAATCAAACTCGACTATGTTCTTTGTTCGCGGTCTTTTTTTAACCGCATTGTAGTTTACTTTGTATCCTATATATACATTCTATTCTTCATTCAACAGCACAATCATGTCTAAAACATCATTAATTCCTCTCGATTTTTTTCTTGATATGTGTCCATTTGACCTCTATTCTAAAACTGGTCCATCTATTCCATCATGCAATCCATCAATAGCACCAGATATATCAATAATTCATGGTATGAACTTATCAACAAATAATATTAATACAACAACGTGTCTTGAATCTCATATAAATCATCCAATGCTTAATGGTGAACTTTTACTTTCATATTGTCCATCAACATCACTTAATATTCCATCAACAAATGAAACCATTAAACCAGCACCATCACTTATACCATGTGCATTAACACAATGTTGTTCAAATAATAATCTTCAAACAATAATTAATTTATGTAAAACAATAAATGAATATTTAGATGATATTGTACGTCTTTTGATTCATATGGATACAAGTTCTGATAGACGTATGCACAATATAAATAATCTTTTACAAAACATACAATATATTGTTGAACGCTTTATATATATACAACAAAAAATTATTAAACCATTGAATGATTCATCAAGTGATATGTTAAAATTAAATATGTTAATACGCTCAAATAATAATCAATTAAATACAACTAATAATAGTAATACAATTTATTTAGATCATCGTTTACATGAAGAATTTATTTCGATATTAAAACAAATTGTTTTATTAATTGACTCATCACGTTTATCAACAATATTAACAAATGTTAATTTACAACATAAACTTGATTCAATTCATGAACAAACAAATCTTATGCATGAACATCTTGTTACAATTACACGAAAACTTGAAACAAATATTATTTGAAAAAAAAAAAATAAAAAAAAAATATATATAATAAAATTTATAATTTATTAAAATTTTGACAATAAAATAAAATTAATTTTTATATTTCTAGATGACTACTCCATCGAAATCAAATGGTACGCCATCAAAACAACGTCGTACACCGGCTAAACAAACACCAGGATCATCACAACGAACGCGTAGGATATTCTTAACAAACAAACAAAAAATATCTTTGATCTATTGTATTTAGCTGCTAAAAAACGAAATCCTTTAACAGCATTACAAGAAGATGAACCTATTGCAAGTCCAGCACCAAGTTCTGTTCTTCAAATGCCATTTACACCTGGACGCACTCCAAATAAAAATCGAGGTTTGTTATAAATAAATGATTTGTTTCAAAATATTTACAGACATTATTACTTATTTGACTCGATAAATCTACTTTGTGATGAACGCTTCAAATTAAATTTTAACTACAAAATAGGTTCATTAATTCTTTGAGTACCATTTCTCGATCATGATAATTATGAGTAGAGGGGTAAACTGATCGGATGAACCGCCACCACAACGGCATAAAAAAAAGATCTTTGATTTTTAAAAATTTCAGATGTTCTAATTCACTTTTTGGAGATATTATCGCCTGGTTTCTTGTCAATAAACACTGCCATAGTTTCCTTTCTTTTCATTTCAAAGTTTTTTAAAGACTTATCGAAAATTTTCAAGCACTGCTCAATGCATTTGCTTACATATTTAACTACAAATTTATGAGTATTGAATACTGATCGTCCAAAAGGTTTAGGACTCTTCCTCTGAATCATTCGGAGAAAATAAGCTTTGTGATTCTCGTACGATAAAATGCTGCTGACTCTTCTGTGTCACAGATACGAATATGAATTTTTAGATTATTCACACAAAGTATGATGGTTAACTAGTATAATGTTCGAGGAAATTCATTGAAAATAAGCGTTCACTCAAGAAACATACATACACATATAAGATTGTCTGGGCATTCATATATTTTGTGATTAATGCATGTCATCACGATGTAAAAATATAATGATTGCAACTTAGAAGAAATAATATTCATAGAAAAACTTTTTTTTGGAATATTTCATACTCACTCGAAGACAGTAATTTGATTTCGCATACACTTACTATCAAAATCAAATAGTCTATATATATCTGAGATCAGCAGATGTAATTGCATCGTCCTGTCTCAATATCATTTTCTGTTCCCAAGTTTTTCAAAAGTAAAGAAACATGAAAAAACTGTACCATATAAAGTACGCTGTTATTCCAAAGGGCTAATAAATGAATCACGTATATTATAAAAAGATTCTATACGAAATCCAGCTGGTATCAAAACGAACAAGACAATATTATTTGAAAAAGTTGACCAGCTGTATTGTGTTTTGAACTATAATTTGATAGAATATCTGTAAAAACTGCTGATATGGAAATCCATGATTACGGTCGTTTTTAGTTATAAAATATGCTTTACTACTAAATGAAAGGTAGCTATGAGCATCCGTGTTCACAACAAAAGCTATGTTCCTAGTGAAAAAAAGCGCAGTCAAAAATAGTTGTTCGTTGTTCTCCCAGCTACCCTATAGTATAAGCAAGAGGACTTGAGTATAGCATCCTAATCATGATAAGTCTTATAGATCTTATTTTTCATTACCAATTTACGTTGAAAAATATGTCATGTACTGTAATATCTCATGTTCAGACCAGGATTAAAAAGGAGTAGGTGCAATCTGAACAACTTAACAATGGCAATAGTTAGCGAGATGCGATTTTCAGCAATCGAAAGAGAAAAAAAACTTCGAACGTCTTTTTGTTTGATACTATATAAGATAAAATGATTGAAATATCCATCATCTTAGTAAACAATTGAAAAACATGCATACAAGTGGCGTTTCATTTCAAGGAAATTTTAATAAAAAATCAGCAGAATTTTACTGAATATCTATGCGATTTTGTCTGCTTAATATTGAGATATGACAAATTTAATTATTTGAATCATGCGGTAAACTATAGATCGAAAGTACATGTTAGAATCAAGATCATATCGAAATGGGACACCATTTTCATATAATGTTTTGCAAAAAGATGGGTTCTAAAATTATTTTATTTTATGCAGTATCAAACAAATAAACTTTCGGAGTTGTTCTCTTTCGACTGCTGAAAACCGCAGATCATTAGCTATTGTTGTGGTTGAGTTACTGACTGCTTTAATTCACTCCTCTTCAATTCTGTCGTGCTCATAGGTTGTCTTTTTTCATTTGAAATGAATGAATTTTTAAGGAATGGCTTTTTCACCAATGACATTTACAACATCACCTGCACAAAGTAATATATGTGCTAATGGCCGTACACCGATGTCAACACCATCACGAGCACGATCTGATCTTGGTAGTGCACGAAAATTGCGTTTAGTTAATGAACAAGAAGAATTAGTGAGTTGATTTCTATACAGATTTATAAAATAAAATGAAAAATTTAGGAAGGTGATATTGATGTAAATACAGCTGATAATCAAGTTGTTATTTGGGGTACTGATGTACATGTTAATGAATGTAAACGTCGATTTATATCATTTTTAAAAAAATTTCATTTAAACGTTGAAGAAGCAAATCTTGAAGGTGTTGATCCAGCTAAACCATATTATATGCAAAAACTTGAAGAAATTCATTTACTTGAACGTCCATTTCTTAATGTTGATTGTTCACATATGAAACAATTAGATAAAATAATGTATCATCAATTACTTGCCTATCCACAAGAAGTTATACCTATATTTGATATTGCTGTTAATGAATTATTTTTTACAATTTATGAAGATGATACACTTCCACATCAAATCCAAGTACGACCATATAATGTTGATATGTTTCGAAATATGCGTTGTCTTGATCCAGAAGGTTTGTTAATAGGCATTCTCATTTTCTTACATAAAAATAAATAATGAAATCTTATTTAGATATTGATAAATTAGTCAGTCTAACAGGCATGGTTATTCGATCATCATTAATTATGCCAGAAATGCGTTCAGCATATTTTTCATGTAATACATGTAGTTTTCATGTTCAAGTTGAAATTGATCGTGGTCGTATTGCTGAACCAACCGTATGTACATCATGCAATACAGCACATTCATTTGAACTTATTCATAATCGATCATTATTTGCTGATAAACAATTTATCAAATTACAAGAAACACCAGGTAAGAAAAAACTAAATGATACAAAATTTATTCGATATGTTTGATTTGCTTGTTTTTTCATTTGTAAAGAGGAAATGCCTGCTGGTCAAACACCAGTGACAGTTACTATTGTAGCACATAATGATCTTGTTGATGCAGTACAACCTGGTGATCGGTAAGTATCAATTGATGATTGTTTGTTCATTCTATTGAGGACTTTTGTCAGAAAAAGTCAATTTTGTTTAAATTTATTTATTTTATGATGACATTTAAAAATAGAAAACAGATTTTTCTCAATCATGATACTGAAGAAAATAAGGTTTTTCCTAAAAACTTAGATTTTTAAAGTCCCTCAAGCCTCTCTATTGACTTTTGTTGGTGATGAACATGAAAAACTAAAATGGACGGAATGTGTCAATCAATTGAATACTTACTCAATAGATTTATTAATTTTGACGTTTTTCTGCGTTACAGTTTTCTCTCCTTTTAAACGTCAGAAAGCTGAATTTGCTATAAAATTGAAGATAAAAATCTGCTCTAAAACTTAAAAGAGCCGAATTGTCCTTTTAATGTTTACTGGAAACTAATCGTTCTACACGTACATCTCTCTGATTGCTTTCTCGTATTTTATCAAAGGAGCTTTTGAGGGAAACAAACTGGGAAAAATGAAGCTATGTTAGGGTGTAGCATCAAGATTTTCACCCATGTTCCTAAGCTTACTCTTCAGAAATGCAATTTTCCGAGTTGAAAATTTTATTGTGAGGTGGCCAATTCTAGATTAGCCTCTTTTCGAGGTTTCATTAAGGTTGAGTTGTAGAAAAAAAATTCCTGTTTTTAAAGGCTTCGTTCAGGATTCTAGCATAAATTGGATTCTAGCTAAAGGTACTGTTTAGGATCATTTATTGAATTTTTAAGTAGAAGATTCAAGTTTGAACGTCCGGATTTAAATTGAATATTTAATGAAATATGAAACAAAATGTTGAACAATATTCTTGACAAAATTTTTTTGTGATATCGATAATTTTCTCGTAGTGATTTTGGTTTTTGCTATCATTTCTTGTTAATTTATGTCTTAACAAAAGTGAATATAAACATAGCATGGTTAACTAATGAAAAGTTATTGAATATGTTGTAAACTTATAGAATTTATTTGTTTTTATATTGACATGTTTATACATAACACAGTTAGATATATCACAAAATTGGTAACCACTATCTTTGTATCCCTGATTGAGGTTTATATTTTTGTGTTGCACTGTTTTCTTATTGTCGACTCTGATTTAGTGTACAAGTAACTGGTATATTTCGCGCAGTACCAGTTCGAATGAATCCTAAAACACGAAATGTTCGATCTGTATATCGTACATTTATTGATGTTATTCATTTTCGTCGTCATAAAACATTTACAGCTGAAGGTGGAATTGGCGAGCAAGCAACAAATGATGATGAAGAATCAACGTAAAAGTTTTCATTCTTATGATTTTGTTTTCATAATGGTTTCTTTTTTCTCGTATAATTTAGTTCATCAAAATTTTCAAAAGATCGTTTAGCTCAATTTCGTAATTTATCTGAACGTCCTGATATTTATGAATTATTATCAAATGCTATTGGTATGATTCTTATAAAGAAATTTAAAATATTCTAATTTTTTTTTCTCTTATTTAAAGCTCCAAGTATTTTCGGACATGAAGATATTAAAAAAGGTATTTTATTACAATTATTTGGTGGAACAAAAAAAAGTTTTATTGATGCTGGACGAAAAAGTTGTCGATCTCAAATTAATATTCTACTTTGTGGAGATCCTGGTACAGCTAAATCACAATTACAACAATATGTCTTTCGTTTGGTACCACGTGCTCAGTATACTAATGGTAAAGGTACAAGTGCAGTTGGTCTTACAGCTTATGTTACAAAAGATCCTGAAACTAATCAACTTGTTCTTCAAACGTGAGAGAAACATTTTTACACATTTGTTTTTTTTGAAATCTTTCATTTGCTTTGAAATTCTAGTGGTGCATTAGTCCTTGCAGATAATGGCATTTGTTGTATTGATGAGTTTGATAAAATGAGTGAAAGTGCTCGATCAATACTTCATGAAGTTATGGTACGCTTAACTTTATTGTAATTTTGATTATTGAAAAATAAATTGTGTATAGGAACAACAAACATTATCAATAGCTAAAGCTGGTATTATATGTACATTAAATGCTCGAACATCGATTTTAGCTGCTGCTAATCCAATTGAATCTCAATGGAATAAATCAAAAACTATTATTGAAAATATTCAATTACCACCTACATTACTTTCGCGTTTTGATTTAATTTTTCTTTTACTCGATCCACAAGATGAAGCATATGATCGACGATTAGCACAACATTTAGCTTCATGGTACCAATATGGCAAAGAAGGTGAAAGTGCTCATGAAGCTATGGTAAATTCTTGTTTCTTTTCTATCTGAAAAAATCATTTGTTTCTTATAGGATGCTGATTTACTTCGAGATTATATATCATATGCACGAACTTTTGTTAGTCCACATTTAACTGAAGCAACTGGAAAACTTCTTGTTAGCTCGTAAGTCATCGAAAAAAAATCGAAAGTTTAATTGTGTTTTTGAATTGTTAGATATGTTGAAATGCGTAAAGTTGGTAGTGGTAAAGGACAAGTTTCTGCATATCCTCGACAACTTGAATCATTGATTCGTTTGGCTGAAGCACATGCAAAAGTTCGACTTTCAGATAAAGTCGAAGAACTTGATGTTGAAGAAGCTAAACGGTAAATTAAATCAAGAATTTCTTTTTCATTTCTCAAAATGAATTCTTTTTACTTTTCAGACTTTATCGTGAAGCATTAAAACAAGCAGTAAGTTTTGTGTATCTTTTGAAAATTATTCTATTAGCAATTTTTTTTCATAGGCTGTTGATCCTAAAACAGGTCGCGTTGATGTAGCAATTTTAACAACAGGTATTAGTGCTGGTGAACGTCGACTTCGTGCTGATCTTGCTCAAACTCTTAAGCGTCACCTTAAAGAACGTAAATCAACACATACTACAGAAGCAATTAAAAAGGATATATTATTTAATGAAATGCGTGAACGAAGTGATGAACGTATTACACGTGATATGTTTGATGATGCTGTTCGAGCATTAGAAGAAGAAAATTTTATTGTAGCAACAAATCATACAATTCGTATTGTTACATTGGGTGAATCTAATTTTGATTAAACAAATTCAATTCATTTTTTCTGTATATACAGATAAACATAGATAAATCTATATTTTGTTCTTGTATTCTTCTCTTACGGTTAGATTAAATCAATAAATATACTTAGTTTTCTATGAAATTATTTAAATTTTAACTGAATCGAAGTATTTAAATAATCCAACGAACAAAATGCTTAAAAAATGATGTAACATTGATGTATTCTGTTGAATATGATAGTGGCAAAAATAATTGTCTTCAGATCAAATCTGATGAAAAAGATTTTGGATAATCCTATTCAAAGATCCTTTTCTTTGATAGAGATCAAGGAAGGAGAGAAAATTCTTCATTAATATATGTCGGAAGTATATGAAATTTTCTAGTCGTAAGCTGAGCAACAAAGCCGCTTTTTGTCACTGATTTTTCATAAGCATCTTATAGTAAAAGTTATAGTAATCCTATATAAATGACTGCTATTGTAGATATCAGAAACGATAATCTGAGTTCGATATTTGAAATTTAAATTGTTTCATTCTTAAGATTCAATTTATAAAGCTGACATAGTGTCATATCTGACCATTTTATATTATATTTTTTTGCTTCGTGAAAGTTCTAAACATCGTAAAGTGATAAAAGTTTTTTTCTTTTCGAAACAAATTGAATAAATCATTACAACGTAACTGTATGTTTATTTATGTGTTATGTTCATATTTTAAACGCCATAAGTTTGATCTCGATCAACATATATTCAAAGATAAAAAAGTTCGTTTTTCGAAAATAAAATATTTAAAGGGTAGTTCGAAGTATTGTTCGTTTTAGAATCTTCAAGGTATTAACAAATAGAACAAGTGATTTATTAATATCTCACGTTTCGATACGAAATGCATCCGAATTAAAAGAAAAGTTATTCATGCATCATTTCAAATGCATAATATACTCATTGAATATAAATGTTTCGATTGATATTTTTCCTTGATATTGAAAATAAGTATGAAATTCATTTGAATAGTTTTATTTTGTCAAAAAAAGAAGCTTTTTCGAAAGTAACTATTATTGATGCTATCCAAGAAACGTCTCTGTTAAAACCAGGCGAATAAATACTTTTATTTGAAAACGACTTGTTTTGTTGAGTGATTGATTTAACTGCATTTCATATTTTAAGAGAATTACTCAATGATGATCGAGTTGATAAAGAATATGATGGATGTTTTATAATTTTAACTTGTAATCAGATAATGCATATGAATATTTGAGTAAAATAGAAAAATTAATTCGAAATAGACAAAATTATCAACAAATGTAAAGATATAATGTGCCTGACAAACAACTACAAATATGTCAAGAGTAAGAAAAACAACGAATCTATCATTCTATGATGATCCAACAGAATGAAAATTTCAGATTTTATTGTTCTTCAGTCACACAATGGTCCTTTTGAGTTCAATCTGAATTTAAAAAAAAAAAGGCACTCGATTAGAAACTGAAATCAGGAGCTTGAGAGTCTATACAAATGACAACATACGAAATACTCTACATGAAAACTGTTTTTATAGGGTGTAGGCTTTGCGGGTCTATATAATTTATATCATGTCATATATGCTTTAATCATTGAGAGTATAGACTATAAATATCATCAGAATAATTTCATAGGCTCGTAAGACGCGCACCTTATCCAAAATAGATGATATTTACTTTATATAATATCATTTACATTCTTCAACGAGAACATATTGTTTGAAAAAGATTGATGGAGCGGGGACTATTATGAATATATTGCATTACTTGATTTGTTTAGTTGTAAAATGTATCAGGCATGATGTGCTGAGAGACATATAGTTTTGTATAGACTCGCAAACCCTCGCTGTTTTGAAAAAAGGAGCATTTTTCTAAAAATTCAGTTTGAAGTGAAAAAAGATCATAGACTCTCTTCAGTATCGATTAAATCAGCATTTTTCAATGTTCCAGAAATATCATGCCAACATTTTATAATTATTATGTTCAGTTCGTTTAACTTTCTCATATCTTCTTTTAATTGAACATTTTGTTTTTCAAATCAGCATTGTCCTCTTTTATTTTTTTACTATCGTCTCGTAATTGTTGTAGCTTTCGAATAATGTTCCCCGGTCACACAAGCACGCTCGTAAACAACCGTATATAAAGAAGTACGGTGGTTTACATGGTTCAGTATTACGATCGTATATCTCCATATCGTACACAGAGATTACGACGATATACCAAGAAAAATACAATCGTTTACGATCCTCATAAAAGGTCTCCGTTTTGCTCCGTATTTCTTCCTATATGATTGTATTTCGCCGTATACGGTTACGGCAATATATGATCGTAATACTGAACTATGTAAGCCGTCAAAATACGATCTTTATATTGGTCAACCTCGATTGTTGGTTTGTTCCATGACTTTTCGTACTAAATCTATTGTACAATCATTTTTGAATACTTGGTGATGCTGTTGCTGTTGAACACTCTGCCTACTTGACATCACCATGACTTGTGCTTTGTAATTTTAAAAAAGAATAGCTGATTACTTGAAAAGAAACCAACGAATCGATTGAAACAAATCGAAAAGGAAAAAGCTTTGTGATTAAATTTAGATGCTTACTGCATGATATGTCAACAACTTATTGTGACGAGCTGAGAGAGTGTGCGCCTATTCCCCGTAGGCATTATGGTGTATTGTATCATATTCACAACTCTAGTCGTGCCTTTCCTTCGTTTTACATCTTCTAATATAGGAAAGAGCAATTACGCAAGAGTGAACAGGAATAAAGAGTAAAAGGTNGCGTGACACCCATCCTCACAATATTCGAAAAATTGTCTTGCATTGTATTTCACAAAATGAAACTTATCCAATGTAAAGCACGATTGTATAAGTTAACCTCAGTGTTGTCAGATGTCAAACTCGTGAATCCAGAATTTAAATCTCAAAATCCTGTAAAACTCAGAAAAATCTCGAAAGAATCCTGCAAAAATCTAAAAAAATCCAGAAAAACCTAGAAGAAATCCCAAAAAAGTCTTGATAAATCCTTGAAAAACCCGAAAATTTCGAAAAAATTCCGACAAATCCAGAGAAATACTTGAAAAAATCCTGAAAAAGTGCACAATCGTCAAAAAATCCAAAAAATTTAGAAAAAATTCTGAAAATCCAGAAAGAATTCCACAAAAATCTCGCAAAAACTTTCAAATCCGGAAGACCTGGCAACACTAGCTACTCACCCAACATTTTTGGAAATAGGATTTTATAAGTTACTACCCCCGTCCCCAAGTTTTGGTTGCTTGCGATACCCCTGGTAATGGTATTGGCATACAAGAAAAATAGATAGGCCTTTCCAGGCAGGCCAGGCCAAACAAATAAGTTGGCAGGCACATGCAGGCTTGGAATTCAGACGCCTGTCGTAGGCCGGCCAGGCCTGCAAAAATGCGGCCTGGTTGGACCTCTGTTCGCCTATCTTTAAATACATGAAATTTTGAAAGTTTCATACGAAATTTATATATCTGTTTTTAGTGTAGGCGATATATCATAGAATGCATGAGTACTACTGCAGTTTATTCTAAACAACAATTTCTAACAATTCGTTTGTATGAAAGTGCCCAATACATCGTGATATGGTTGTCAATATTCACTGATTTTGCGTTACTTCATCTGAATGTTAACATTGTTCTGTTTTTCTTGTTAGTTGGAAGAAAAACATTCTTGACAGTCAACCCAACAAGCCAAAACACCAAAAATAATAAAAAATCGTTCACAGAAAACTGATGGTGGTAATACAAAACAAAGAATTTTCGGATGGTGAAGTGAATACTTTAGTCGATGTATTTAGAAATTTTATGCGTTTTTAATTGAATTAAGATCATGCCACATACTAACTTTTGCACCAAGGTTTTCATACAAATGAATGAAAAATATGGAAAAAAAACTCATCATTTTCTTAAATGGAAAGCAACTTAAAATAATTAATCAGCACCATGCCGAAATCATATGGCTCGGATACCATTTTTATTATTCCCACGACGCCACGTTCACAACGCCTGAGATGCGCTTCCGAACATTTTCATCATGCTATTTCAATCCTTTTCCAGATACCATTTAGATCATCTCGAACGACTTTTCATGATGCTGAGAAAAATAATTTTCATGATTAATTTTTCGTGTTGTGAGAGATGCAATCGAACATGGTCTCATTATCTCCTTCATCTAAACCAGATACCACTAAGCTATCAACGCACATTTAATGGCTATGTTATAAAATCGGAACGAAGACCTAAAAAATTCTTATGAAACCAGTTGAAAATTAATAAAAAAAAAATAATGTGATGACTTCGATTTAATATAATTTCAACAAAACAATGTTCTCAGCGACAAGCTCATCATATAAAAGTCATAGCAGTAATGAGACTAATTTTATGCTTCAAAATACACCAAATACATCAAGTGATTTTAATGAAAATATACAAAATAATTATTTAATTGAAATATGTATCTTTGATTTTGGACATTTTCGGAACTATGAGTACAACAAATTCAAGGTCTTGCGATTTGTTGCAGAGAGATTTGGATTTGGGTTTGATCTTAAATTGCCCAAATCTAATGAGGCTCTGTAAGATAAAGTACTCGAAGAGAGAAAAGAATCGTCAGTCCTCAAAATTGATATGAAATAGTCTGGGTTTAGTATAGATTTGGATTAGGTGTTCGGACTTAGTTTTATTATAACATAGCTGAAAATTTCGGATCATGTAAGTGGACGACCCAAATCCCAACTTTAAGTCCAAATCTAAGATCTAAATCCAAAATCCGAAACCCAAACGATAGCTGAAATCCTGAGTGCGAAGTTCAAATCATACCGAAACGATTGCTGTAATCCAAGTGCAAATGAAATTCAAGTCTAGAACCATATCTAGACCAAATTCCAAATTCCAGAAAACAAATCTACATCCAAATCTCAAGGATTTGGTTCCAAATTTCAAATCTATTACAGATTTGTGGCAACCATACTTGGAACAAAGC